GCCCTCAGAATAAAAATTACCATGTCAAAGAGAAAAAAAGAGCACTAAGTAAAGGGAATATTTTTTTTATGTCTTGTAAGGCTAACATCTTCTCTTTGGAGCCTAGACATGTGATCCCAGAATGGTTTTTGTTTGTTTCATTTTTGGTTATGGTGTCTGAACCAAAAATTTTATGATCATTTTTGGTTAGATACGAATTACTCATCTAATTTCTAGATCTACACTGCTATAATTATCAGACAGGCCAAAACCAGAGTGGTCTTTATAATATTTAATAGAATATAAACATAGCATTGCAAATTTTTATTATTTAGACTTCCTACTTTACTAGGTGGAGTTATTTCAAAATACTTAACTAGATCCAGCCTCAGTGGAACAAGTGGTAGCATACTGAACTACAATTCTGGAATCCACATGACTAACTATGGGTTCCAATCTCAAGTTAACCTGAAGCACAGAGGTTTGCACATGCTCCCAAGATCCTGACAAGCAGGAGGGATATGGGGAAAGGAATCATGGCATAATGAGGAGTCTCTCTATAAAGGGTGTCTCTCTATCTCTCTCTATATATATACCTCTTTGTCTTGAACACACACACACTCTCTCTCATAAAATAAACTTTAAAAAATAAAACTACTTAAGTTGTCTTCAACAGATTGGTTTCTTTACTTAAGCATTTCCAGTCAATAAAAGAATATTAAGGCTCTCAAGAAAGGTTTCTTCTCTTCTGAAATTGCCAGTTCTTCCCAACCCCTTTGGTCACTGGGCATAAAACCTTTATTCCCCAACAATCACAATCTTTATCTACAGATACTGTCTGGACTACTTGTCATGGTAGTTCCTTAATTTCCTGCTAGAAAAGAGTCCTCATGAGGAGATGGCATTTACTCCTGAACCTTACCACGACACAAAAGCCCTTTGTTGTTTTGAATCTGTGTGTGTGTGTGTGGGGGGGTAAGTTAATGGACTGCAGAGATGGCCCACACCTGATCCATCTAGAATCTCTCCACAGCTCTACCTATTCCTGATTAACACTGAGACTTGCACATCTTAATAGAGATCACATAAACACTTAAAATCATGACTTCCCTACAGGTTCATGTGTTACTAATAACATTAAACGAATGTGTTGTCTTGTGGCAAGTGTTTTTCTTGTGACATTTTGGAATAGCTTATCTTGAGAAATAGTGTGTTTTATTTTGAATAGATGAACTAATGCTTAGGAAACAGTCCTAGAAAAGTGACCTTGAGAGAATTGTCACTAAAATTCACATTTACAGCATGAAATAAATGTCCTTCCTGTGAAGTGGTTGTGTTGAGTCCTACTGCATTGTTTTTGTAACTTGTAAGTTTCTTTCGGAGTTAGCATCATATGTGTTAAAACTAAAGACAGGAGGGCCAGGAGGTGGAATGGTGGTTGAAGCACTGGGGTCCTACCCGGCCAACTCCATGGTTGACTCCCAGACCCAGCAACTTGAAAAACTTTCTAGGCGCATGTGTGTGCATGCCCAAAATCCCTAGAAGAGAATGAAGAAGACACTGTAGTGTTACCAGCCCCCATCGGGGGCGATTTCTCACTTTTCCATTCAGTCTCTTTCTGTCTCTGTCTTTCTCTCTCTCTCTCTCTCCAGCAAGTGCACATGTCCTATGGCAAAAATCTTAAAAAAATCTAAAGACAGGAAAAAAACAGTTGGCACATTTGATCATTAATTCATATTAGTAAACTATTGATTATCAGTTAATAACTTACATATAATGTGCCTTGATTATAAATTACCTTTATGTGAAAACCTTATTCATTATGAATTGAATTATGATCCATGAACAGCTAGTAATTGAGAGGAAAATGTATAAAAGAATTATTATAATTATTTTATAATTATTTATTTAATTTTATTTATTTTATTATTATTTTCAAAATTTGCTATAAGGCACATATGCTCACCAGAGAGAGACAGAGAAAGAGGGAAAGTGAGAAAATAAGCCGCCAGGTCCAGGACTAAAACTGTCGTCAGCCATGTGGCACCTTAACCACAATGCCGCCTTCTGGCCTGTATCAAGCAATTATTATTATTATTATTATTTTGGAGAGGTTTTTTGCTATAGGGCGCATGCACTCGCCAGACAGACAAAGAGAGACATAGAGACAGAAAGCGAGAAATCACCCCCCAGGGGGGATGGTCACGCCGCAATCCCTTCTCCTCCATTCTCCTCTCGGGATCTTGGGCACGCATGCACACGCGCCCGGCATGAGTTTTAAACCACTGGGTCCGGGATGCGAACCGCGGTCGACTACGTGGGAGTCCAGCGACATAGCCATTACGCTAATTGCTGGTTCCCAAGCAATTATTAATATTGACACTAGGAATTTAAATAGTGCTCTAATGAAGATAATAAATGTGTAAGTTCTCTTCAGAATTCATTTTTTTTTTTATGGCATCTTGCAATGATCTGAAGGTAGACCCAAATCAGTATGGATAAATGGTCACAGGCTACTCATAACAGATATGAAAAGTTCATGTTTGGGACCAGCAGATGGCAGAATCGCTATGTCTGTGGACTTCCACATAGTTCAAGTCTCAGACCCAGTTGCTTAAAACTCACACCAGGCATGTGTGCATGCATTCCCAAAATCCCGAGAGGAGAATGGAGGACAAGGGACTGCAGCATGGCCATCCTCCCAGGGGGGTGATTTCTCACTTTCTCTCTCTGTCTCTCTGGTGAGCACGTGCACCTTATAGTAAAAATCTCTTAAAAAAAAAAAAAAAAAGTCATGCTCTAAAGCTCATACATGTTGCTCAAAACAATGTCTCCCGAAACAAGGAGCACCAACCCACAGTACTGGTCAGTGGCCTGTTAGGAACTGCACTGCACAGCAAGAGGTGAGCTTTCTCTGTATTTACAGCCACTCCCCATTACTCACACTAGCACCTGAGCTCCACCTCCTGTCAGCTCACCCACAGTGTTAGATTCTCATGGCAGCCCCCAGATGGGACCATGTAGTTGCAGGAAAGAAAGCTCAGGACTCCCACTGATTCTGCATTATGGTGAGTTATGTAATTATTTAACTATGTATTATAATAAATTCTATTATAATAAAATAGAAATAAAATGCACAATAAATTTAATGCACTTGAATCAAACTGAAATCATCCCCACCTCCCAACACTCACACATACCCTGGTGTGTGGAAAAACTGTCTTCCATAAAATTGGTTTCTGGTACCAGAAACGTTGGGATACCACTGTCTCAAAACATCCTCAATGTTTATTGACTCTTGCTTTACGGATAATCTATTGCAAAAAAGCAGCAGACAGGGACCAGCAGTTAGCATAATGGCTATGTCTTTGGATTCCCACATAGTCGACCGTGGTTCAAGTCCCAGACCCAGTGGCTTAAACTCATGCCGGGCGCGTCTGCGAGCGTGCCCAAGATCCCAAGAGGAGAATGGAGGAGAAGGGATTGAGGCATGGCCATCCCCACTGGGGGGTGATTTCTCGCTTTCTGTCTCTATGTCTCTCTCTGTCTTTTCGGTGAGCGCAAGTGCCCTATAGCGAAAAACAAAAAATAAACCTCTCCAAAAAAAAAAAAAAAAAGAGGAGAATGTACAGAGGACTTAAAAAAGTACATGGAAAAATAGAATTGAAATCCATGTTGATTTTGGTGCAAAAAATTTTGAAATTCATGCATAGTGTTTCTCATAATAATTATTTTCCATGAACATTCTTAATATCCCCACATATTACAGCATAATACCATGAGGGTGATGATGAGACAAAAGTGAAGGTCAAGAGAAGAAAGTTATTACCATAAAAATTAAAGAACAATAGAGGTTTGAGGACAAACATGCCAACTTGCTAAGACTTTGGGGAAAATTGTGTTACAGCACAGAAGAGTGATTCTATTCTGTTCTGAATACCTAAAGGAGCAAGACAAATTTGTTGGCAGCAATGTATTGTGTTTTGAAAGCTATAAAATTTCTAGCTTGAAGTGGTAGATGAACCCTTTCTTTTTCTAATTCCACTGACATGACACCAACAGAAGTACAAAATGGGATCAAGCCAAAACCAGACAGTGAACAGGAAGAATGGGACCATCAGCAAACTAAAGACATTGATAGCTTTCTGGAAGATAAGTTAAGAATAACTTTGGGCGGAGACGGCTGTACCCACAGAAGGATGTATTCCCTGCAGAATCCCAGGGAAAACTCCACGCCAGCAGGTCACATGGCTGGGGGCTAATCAGAGTAATCCACTCAAAGTCTGTGCTACTTGGTTCCTCTCACTTCCCCTTCACTCTGTTCAGCTAGGACATTCAATGTCTGCTCAGGCTGCCATCAAGATCTTAAAGGAAAGGTATGAGGAGTAGGCCAGTGCAACAGTAACACAACCCTCAGCAATGCCAAACCCACATACAAAGGTTCCAGGTTCGTGTCCCAAGACTCCCCTATATACACCGGGCTTACACATGTGCCTGTGATGGGGTGGATCACAGCATGAAGACTCAGCTGGTGGTGTCTCTCTCTCGCTTGCACTCTCTGTTTCATGGAAGAAGTAAATAAATAAACTTAAAAAAAAAAAAAGTGAATGGTCAATGTGGACAGGGAACGCAGCCTGCTCACTTGCCCAACATAAGTGAAGCCTGGATGGTTGAAACAGAGGCAGTGCCGTCCGCCCTGCCCCACCCTCTCATGCCCTCAGAAAGGCAGAGGCATCTTGGGCATAAGGGCCTACTTCATCAGCCAATGTTAACTATTCTTACACTTCATTCAAAAGTGTGGAT